GGAGGAGGAGGAGGAGAGGCCTCTGAGACGCTGGAGGGAGGCCTCTGAGCCACAGGGCGGGGCTGGCCTCATGGCCCACTCGGGCCTGGCGGCACAGGACCCCGGATCGGTCGAAAGCCTGGTGGTTACAATTCTGGGGGCATTCCCATATTCTGCGAAAGAGGGTCTCGCGAGCACGGCCACATCGAGGACAGAGCGGTGACACCTCGTACCCCGCTTCGTGCTGCCGGGCGTGGGTCCATTGCCCTCCCGAGACGACGGCCGTCAGAAGGTCCATCTGCTCATGCTGATCTCGCTGCTCGTGTCGGCGAACCTCCAGAGGAAAGGGGAAAAGGTGCGCACCCCCAGGTCCTCGCCGTGGGGGTGCTGAGAAGCCTGACTCCAGAGCGCGGATCGCAAATCATCTTTGAAATCGGCAATAAGTTCGGCGACGTCGAAGTTTCCTTCAAGGCGTTCCAGACCGTCACGATCTGGAAAGTTCCAAACCTCGAACTGGCCATGATGGGCCTATGCCACTCGACTGGGGACACAGGCCTCCGACCAACATCCAGCAACGTGGCGACGACAGCACCGATGGGACCTCGAACCCGACGCCAGCGTTTCGAGGCAATCAGATCAAGCCGCGCACGGATGTGATGCCAGGACCGCGTGATGCGAGCATGCATCTCAGGAAAACGGTTCCACCTGTCGAGCCACGCGTGCAAGACTTGGGCCTTAAGGGCGATGAAAGGTTCACGATACCCGTAAAAAGAGGGATAGCGCAGTAGCAGCGCCCAGGGCCTCTGCTGGCAGCCAAAATCGAGGAGGGCGAAAGACCCATGGCCTGGTGGCCATACACGGCCTGGGGAAGCGCACCCTGAGCCGGAGACCCTGGGAAACTTCAGTGGCCTCGGCATGGCGGCGCAGACGACGAATGCGTTGCGCACGAGGCCGAGCCTTCCTCTGGCGGTCCGAGAGCTTAGCCACCACCCGACGAGCCCCACCACCCGGTTCGCACCCAAGATCGACAGCCTGGACCGCCAGGGAGGCGGGGATACCTACCGCACGCAGGTTGGCCACAATCCGCTTCCCAGCTTGAAGGGAGGACGCAATGACCTTGGTCTTGGACGACACAGGCAATTGATGCAAAGCGAAAGAGCGGGCGAAGGACTGGCCATCCATAGAAACTTGGGCGACAACGCTATCGTCGGTGCCCTCGGCTCGCGCGACGGCGTCGTCCACGAAGGTCCAGAGGCCCGCGCACACCTCGAAGATCTCGCGGTGACACCTCGCCACTCGGGCCGTCCTCGAGCTAGACTCGAATCGAACAAGCCATTTAGCCGTTACAAGGGGCCTTGTCGCACGAATTCGGTTCCAGCAGCGTAGCTCAATGGATGTGGTCGTGCGCGTTGGCCTTGCGCGCAAGGACTGCCCGTAACTGACAACGTTTGGTTCCAGCTACTTCCGGGCTTTTCTCACACGAGCTGGTTCCAGGATTGTAGTTGCAGATGTCTTCTCCTGCACTTCCGTATTCTCGCATTGCCGCAGCTTGCTCCCACCTTGCAACGATCCCAGCGCTGTAGCTGATGGCATCAGGCTCGTCCTTCAAAAGTGCGCCAACCGATGTTCAGACCAATTTCTTGGACGTGCCTGAACATATGTTGCTGTGTTTTGCACTGCTCGCCGTCGTCGTACTATGGATAGCTGGTGACGTCGGGCTCGTCCTTCGCCTTCCTGTCTCGAACGGTGGCCGTGAATGGCTTCTCGGACGCCCTGATCCCTGCGCTGTAGCTGATGACGTCGGGCTTTTTGTTTTACCGTTCACCTTTCCTTGATTAGCGCCCGGCTCCCACTGCCCGCCTTGCTTGCACACGTTGTGCCCAGCGTTGTTTCCGACAAGTTTGGGTTCCAGCGTCGTCTTCCGCTTCTCGCACTACTCGGCCTTTTTCACACGCCTGAGTTGGCCCTATCCCTGTCCATGATGACGTTGGCTCGCGTGGTCTTGCCTCTCTCACGCCTGGACCAGGTCGCTTTGTGGCTGATCACGTCTGGGTTTGCCTTCTCGCAGGAGCCTCTCCACCAGCTTTTCTATGATCTGAACGCCTGTAGCTGATTGCATGCCACTGCCCGCCCACCCGCAATGCCCGGTTGCACGACCAGCTTGTTCGCTCTGTGACGTCTAGACCAGTTTCTTTTGTAGCTCATGACGTCTGGGTCTAGCCTTGCCTTATCGTAGTACCCCCTGCCCAAGCCCCTCCACGAACTGAGCGCCTGCAGCTGATTGCATGCCACCGCCTACCTGCCCACACTGCCAGTTCCACTGCCAGCCCTCTCGCACACGCCTAGACCAGCCCACTCTGTAGCTCCTGACATTCGTATCTCGCCGTGCCTTCTCGCAGTAAGTTTTATACCAGCCTCTCGCTGAATTGAGCGCCCGCGCTGACACCTACCGCTGCCACTGCCAGCCTTCTCTCACAAGTTGGCCCCTGCATAGCAGCCGAGGGTGCTCGTCATGCTCAAC